TAGGGATGGAACGGGGACCCGGTACCCGAGAGGAGCAGGGAGGGAGAGATGCATGGGGGGTGGTCCCGGCGCCGGAGGGGGGATGGATGGATGGATGGATGGATGGATGGATGGATGGATGGATGGATGGATGGAGGTCCCTTTGCCGGAGGGGCTGGCGGAGCGGGCTCCGGCCGCTCTCGGGCCCGGAGGTCGCGGCGGGGCTGGGGAAGAAACTTCTTGCGGGGCCGGAGGGTGCGGGGTTATGGCACACAAACCCCCCCGCTCCTCGCTGCGGGCCCCGTCCCTCCGCCGCTGCCTCCGGGAGACGGCGTCCTCCTTACAGATGGCAGGGAGATGACTTTGGAACGCGGAGCGGGAGGAGGGTGAAGCACTTATATTCAGATTCGTCGTGGAAATGTTTATTTTCTCGGCTTGATATGGATCTTAAAGTAATCCGCTTGGCATTACGCTGTTGCCCTGCTGTTAAAGCTCGCAGCCGCTCTGCTGAGCGCCGCGGAGGCAGATGAGGGAGAAGCGTCTAAGCCGTGCTTGCTGAGAGCCCTCGCGAACCTCAGAAGAGATGCTTAATTTTGGTAGTTTCATCCGTGGTAACGCATGGTTCATGGAGTAATTTTTCAGTGCTAAACACGACGGAAAGGTTTGGGAGCCAGCCGCGAAGCAGCACAGTCACAGCCTCCCCCAGAATCTGGTACATATTTGCTGCAAGGTCGTAGGAAAACCCTGTTGTGGTTTCTTAGGGATTTTTGTTTCGGTCCTTTCCTAAAGAGCCGCGCTCACCTTTGGGGAGTAACTGTTTTAAAAAGAGCAGTCCAGGCTGGGTACTCGTATCCAGTCGTGCACCTTTTTTTTCCTTAAGGGATGCTGAATGTTTTCTGTCACGAGATTGGGGCAAGATGCAGTTACCGTGGAATAAAACACAGCTGCTCTCGTGGCGTAGCCGTTACTTGAAATCCTTGAATTTAAGTCCCTTGATTCGTGAGAAATACCCATATCTCACTAAATTTAATAAAGAAACGTTCTTACTGTTTCATTTGTGGAAATGGAGGGTGAGCTCAGCTGTGCAACACTGTCTCTGACAATAAAGTCGTAGTATAATGCAGAATCTTTAATTAAATTAGAGTGCATAAATTGATGTTGTGCTGCAGAGGCTCTTTGTGCACAGCTGGAAGCGTTTTTCTTTCTGTTGCTTTACTATTTTTAGCAGCAGTTGAAAGTACAGAAGTATGAAATGCTTTGGCTCTGATCTTAACCTGGCAAAGTCTGGTGCGCTTTGCCTTTAATATGGGGACGCATTGATCTCAGCTTATCGGTTCTGCTGGGCTCTTGATCTCCACTGTGTGTGTGTGTGTTGAAGCACGCCAATAAAATCTAAATAAAACGTGTATGGCTGAGTTTAGGTCCTGTTTGAGTTTCAGCCGTTCTCTAAAACTACTGAGGTTGCATCTTGTAGGTGTAGGATGTACAGAAAATGCGAACAGATCTGTCCTTGCAGTGCAGCCAGGGACAAGAAGTGCAGAGGGGCTGAGTCTCTCTGGTCACGCTGTCTCTGTGGCTGCGCTCAAACAATGGGGCTGTCACCGCTCACACAATGTGATGTAGGGCTAGGTGGACGTGATGGAAGCACTCCAGGAAATCTCATGACTTCAGTCACTGTATTTTTAATTTTTAGACCGAAGGTTGTTGTTTTAAGAGCCCTTTTCCACTTCAGGAGCTCGTTACTCCTATCAGGGGTGTCTTAAATGTTCTTTGTAGCACCACAAATAATGCAAACATCCCTCTCTTTTCTTTGGTGACTCAACGTTTGTGACTAGGAACTCTTGGAACAGCTTAAGCTATTCAGGATGCTAAAAAAACCTCTTAGTACCTGTTTTGTATTAAAATCTCGTAATCTGGAGTATCATTTAAATAAGACAGTGTAAATCTGCTCTCCTCCCTGTAGTGAAACTGAGATCTGGG